AGGAACAGCAGTCAACTAAAAAGTCATCCGGTCTTACCAGATATCCCTAAAGCAAAGAGTTGGTTTATTGTATTAGTTTGCTTACGCAAGAGCAGATCATCTGATGACTGTAATATGTCGCTATTTTGGTGCTTAGGTATGTGCACAAAAAGGATATTCGTTTGTCCACTACATGCTTTAAGTGTAATACTTGTCGTACAAATGATCACGAAACTGATCGAAACATTGAACGAAAAGATGAACTTCGGTAACATTTTTTATCGACGCACCAAAAACGACAGCCGCACCATACGAAGCCTTGAACAAACGACCAAGAACGCTACATACGCTGAATATGCTTTGGTGCGCAACCGACAATGCGTAAGAATAAACCTGCTCCTGAAATACTCTAATATATATATATATATATATATATATATATATATATATACATTTATGTGCATACTTCTTCGTATCATGACATTCCAAGCCATTTAAAACGAGCACAAAAAAACGCGAAAACCGTCATCAGATTTGCTGAAAATGCATAAAAAATCATCAGTGCTGAGTGCGCGGTGATTTTTAACAAAATGTTTTAAACACACACACACACACACACACACACACACACACACACACACACACACACACACACAACACACACACACACACCCACACACACACACACACACATATATATATACCTATATATATAATATATATATAATATATATATATATATATATATATATATATAGGGGTATGTAAGTGTATACATGTGTGTTGTATGACTTCTACCGATCAGTGACCTAAATTTATCATTTGCGTGATATTTTATCGCGCTAAAAGCTGTAGCACCGGTCAGACCAAGGTAAAACCGATCCTACCGACCGGATTTTTTACTCGCATTGGCACTTCCCGAAGTAGATCGCAATTTTACTTTCAGTACAGGTTTTCCTGGCAAAGAATCCATGCTGACACTTTAAGCAAAATATAAAAAACGAGATGCTGTTTTGGCCGCTCTACCCATCAATCTCCCATGGAATGCTCCAGATAGCATATCACAAGACAAACAGCGAATCACATCCGTCTCATTCACGTCAGCCTTGAAGCTATGTCGTACTTAGTGACTTGCACATAGTGATGACTGAATCAAATGCAGTGATATATTAAAAACAATTGCACCAAACGATTCAGCTGACATTTCGAATGACAGCAGCCACCAATTGACCTCGATAACTCCTGTCCTCGCTGCAGCCGTACAGCGACGCGGATGTGCTGGAGGCTTCACGAATGCTTCACGACAGTTTGACGTCAAAGGCCCAACGTTATGACGCCACTTCAGGCAAGTGGCCCTAAAATTGGCCCCTCGTGCGCGAGGCATGCTACTGGTTCACACATGCATCACATTAATAGGCGCCAGTGATTGCTCAGATCCGCTGGGTCGCTTGACTAGCGGATGGCTGCAATGCCAAATGCGCCTGCATATAACACATCCGGTTAGTCACTGCTGGCTACACTACAGTTGACCTGTTAGTGCCCATGGAAGAGCCAAAATGAGCTGAAATACTCCTGTCCATTCAAACACGAGATGCCCGTCCCCTTCCGAAATCCCTTCGGCTTTTAACGATAAGAAAGCATTGCAGAAAACGACAACAAAACGATCTGCTGCTCTCTGCCAGCGTCCTAACTCTGGCGAGGATTGTTGTGCAGCTGACCACACCAAGTCCGCCCCGTGCCCAGCTGCACAGCAAAGGGCCTATCTCACGCCTCCTGCGTCGACCAGTCTGCGGCCGGTCCGGCTCATCACGGCAGGTCAGCGTCTGCCTGGCCCGGCCGCCGCTTCGTAACGCCCTCTGTGGGCACGGTGACGGCCTGTCTGCAGGCGCAGGACGTGCCGGGCTCATCACCTCAGGTCAGCGCCTGCCAGGCCCGGCCGCCGCCCCGTGGCGCCCTCTGTGGGCGCGGTGAAGGCCTGTCTGCAGGTGCAGGACGTGCCGGGCTCATCACCTGAAGTCAGCGCCTGCCAGGCCCGGCCGCCGCCTCGTGGCGCCCTCTGTGGGCGCGGCGGCAGCCTGTCTGCAGGTGCAGCGACAGGACGTGCCCGCCAGGTCAGTCCTGTCGTCAGGCGAGAGGGGTGTGCCGGCGGCGCTGGCGGCCGTGCCGCGTGGATTCCAGGCCTTCCGGCGGCTCGGGCACCCAGCGACAGGCTCGCGGGCGTGATTAAGAGATGAACACGTGGACCTCCTTCTGGCGGAGACGTGGTCAGCGCCGATCAGTCTGAGCCAGCTGTCACCGTCGGGTTCGTTGACCGATTCTCGTGGATTATGTTAAGGACGGCTGTGCGGTTGTTTCGCTTTGTTTGAGTAGTGGTTTTACGTAGGCGACTTTTCTAGGAGTTCCTAGTCTTGCATTTCTCCGTTTTCTGCTCCTCGCGGCCAACATTTCTTGCTGTCAGTAGTATTCCTGGATCGCTTCTCAGAAGGATATATAACTCTTTCATAATGTGCAGCTTACACGCTCTGTCCTGGTGTGAGCGACGTTCGACAGGCTGGGGAACAGGCACGTTGAACCCTCAGATGTTCCGACAAAAAACATTGCAGCATTGACCGCAATGCTCAATTTATGACTGAAAGCCGATAAGACGTGGGGTAAAACCAGCGGCCACTCCCCGCGTCCTGCCGGCCGACGGCTTGCAGCGGAAGAGGATGCGACCACCGCGTGTTTTACGCAGCAGAGTTTGCAAGCGGACATGACTCAGCGGTCCGGGGCCGGTGAGGAGGGGAAACTCTCGTTGTGTCCTCCTTAATAATTCCTTTGCTGTCATGTGTGTTCCTGTTTGGAGTGAGCATGCTAGCCTAGGTCAAACGCGCGCAGCCTGACAAGTAAAGAACCGATTTTGCCTTCAATGGCAATTTTGCTGAGCCGTATCCTCAACGTCCCTCGGGTAGGGAAGTACGGATAGTGCTTCACTGCACTGAGTAAATACGTAGATGCGAGCTACTCATGTTAGCGACTTGCATTTTTTTTTCAAGCATACCGATCAACCTGTTTTAGCCACGACAGGGTGGAGGAAGCAAAAGTGACTGCTTCCAGATTTGAAAATGCCATCCGATAAGTTTTCAGAAAAGGAAGCAAACTTTCCACTGCCTGTTAGCTGATGAAAGTACGGGCATTCTCAAAATTGATACACTTGTTCACAAACTGTCAGGTGGGGACGAATGTTGACAATATCTGATTGTCCTTCATGATCACCCCATACCAGTGAGTTACGACGCTGGCGAAGAGGGCTTGTGTGACGATTTTTTACTTGACATGCGGTGATTCTGAGATACCACAGCGTGCGTCTCCCCCACCCTCCGCTGCTACTCCCAGGTGGCTGTGCCCGCAAAATACCCGGACGGCGCCGGGCTAGATGTGTGGAAAGTTGTGACACGCTCTCCTGATCCATGTGGTTTCTCTATTTTTGTCGGCGAATTTCACCGTCCACCGTCATAATTCCGCCAAAGTTTCGGTCTTAACACGATGCCAGCAAGAGGCAAGCACCACCTCAGGATATTTATATGACAGCTACGCTTTAGTCTTAGCGTTACGGCCCGAGACTAAACGCAAAAGTAGGTTTTTTGTCAGATGCTTGTGTTTTATTCCGGTCGAACAATATTTCCTCATAAGTTGTGAGATGTTCAGGAAAATGAAATATATGTAATATATGCACATAGATATATGCATATATATATATATATATATATATATATATATATTTAAAACGAAATATATTTTGCTTGACCTGATGCCTACCACAGCAGCGCTGCATATTTCCGTGCCTCACTCGGGTGCCGACGATTTCCGCTGTAAATGACAAGCTGCAAGCGCCTCCCATTCGTCACCTAAAGCTGCACACTTTCAGCTCTTGGCGCTCTGTGAAACTGTGGTCTGTTTGCTTCCAAAGCATCCAATGAGGCGGTCGTAGCGTCTGAACGCCGGTAACAGTGATCGGGACGATTCATAAATCAAGTTGACCTGCAGGCAGGGTTGTTTCCTACCGCGCTACTCGGGGTCAGAGGTCACCAGCCAAAGGCACGAAGCCGGTTCTGAGGGGCCATCAGGTCACGAGCGGCAGTCTAGGTGCTTGGACGGTCTGATTTGTCCGACCTCCGCGTTGAGCAGTTTGGTGGTGAATACCGAAGCGAAAGACGACAGATTCGCAGCAGGTCAGGCCACCTGCGTAATCAGGATTAATTAAAACTTGTGGTATGACGTAAATAATTGCGGCAGTGTGCACTTCATTCACGTCTTTTGATCCACGTGGGCCGAAAAGGCCCCATTCATGCAGACCGCTTGTTCCATTCGCATATGCCGTCCGTAATTGATGTGGTCGCCAACGCCGCCTCTTGAAGCAGAGATTGATGGCATCATTATCCTGAGCGACATTTCGTCACCTGACGCCAAGGTTCAAGAATACCGGCATTTTCAGCGAGCGTGAAGTTTTGCATCTCCTGCCTTGCTCCCAATCTTTAAGTCTCTAACAGGCAGGATTCACCATACCCTTAATTCGCTAAAAGCACCAGAAACTGCGAAAACCTTTGTGGAAGTTCGATTTTCTGCCCGACGAATTTCATAAATGTCCGCCCATTATTTTCAGTGATGGAGATGATATGTCGCCCTTTTTTGCCAACTGACCTGCACATGAAACGAGACTTGCCCATCTTGCATATCAGTTTGCATATCTGATTACGTCATCACAGTCAGCGTTCTGCACAGCAGTTTGACGGGGCCTGCCTTGCAGCTCATTCAGCTGCGATCTCATACTACCCGCGATTTGGGGGAGGGGGGGGGGGGAATTTCATTTAATGCCAACCGCCTTTTGGTTCTACGGGAGATTTACCGCTGCCGCCACTGGGGTCCTAACCATGTCGGTTTGTTAGCATCGTTGCTTGTCCATGGTCCTGCTTCCTCTTTTGATGATGTCACATATGCACAGCTACCATCAAAACAGCCATTCAAATAAATCACTCGCGGGGAGTATATATCATTGTTTATAGCACTCACTACCCTTGTAAGACAGCTGGCTGAAGTCACAAACAAAACGCTATCAGACGGCACACACCATGTACATTGTATGTATAATACAATCACACTACCTGATTGGTCAACAACTAATGAGCATTCATGCCACACAAATAACACCCGCATTTGCATTCCCACATCTGAACTGCAGCAATTATGCATGGCATCGTCTCTGCAATAAAAGGCTGTGGCCGATTAAGTGTTGGGCTTTGCAGTTCGAAATTTAGGGAGTGGACATCGATGTCAGGCACTGGCACAATGCAGTCTACATCATCCGCGTGCAAGTAATCGGAAGGCTCTCATTTGAAAGGTCATGATCAGGCCAACTGACATTTTCGGTTGAAAATACGCATATCACAGCGTCCGTTCATTTTCGACATAACCCATCTGTACATCTTGAGCTCCGTCAAGTCCAGCCCTCAATGTACGATACCAGCTGCCGACTGTGGCACAGCTGTTCTGATCCAGCGGCGGCAGAATCACGTGACTTGCCCGTGGCGAGCGCCTGAGCAGTCTCTGCTGAAGCACATGTCCAAGCTGGACCGCTACCTACCAGTGGCTCCACCCTCGGCGGGCCAGCGCAACTTCGACATGGCACGGAACCGACGGGGCCAGCCTCGCCAGCGTCATCTATAGCAGCGGCAGCAGCGCTACCTATACATGGTGGTTCCAGCAGCGCCATCTATAGCGTAGTGGACTCGTCCTCGTAAGCGGTGTTAGAGAGTCCGAGCGGCTCCGGCTTCTCGTCTTCCAGCCGCTCCTGCTCCTCATCCTCCACGTACTTGTAGCGGTATGCCATGAAGCAGAACAGCAACATGTCCAGGAACATGAGTGCAGCAAACAGCAGGAACTCGTGCGACTGCGGAGGGAGAGACGGGTCTATAGATACACCAACAGCGACACTTGACATTATCTTTAGTGACAAAAGGACTTCGCCTCAGTGAAGTGCGGTATAAATTTGCTCAGTTTTACGGCCATGCTACATGAGACGACTAGTTACGCACATGCCTGGGCAAATACGCATTTAGCAAGTTTCGAAGTGAGTATCTACGACGCTGAAACAGTGAATCGATGATGCAAGAAGCCGTTCGTAAATTACGTTACGGTTGTTTTGTCTTTATACCAATCTCCCTGGCTACATTTTTGGGGGATTATTGAGATCTCAGACTCCCCCAGCTGCTCCGTAAGAGCATTTCTTTAAAATATTTCAGCCTGATTTGTAGTCACACTCCTGCAAACCCCCTTGTTATGCTTTCGTTACGCTCCATGCCCTCCCTTCCCCCTCAACGCAAGTGGTACTTTATGAATGGCACCGAAGTAGAACAGAACGAAGGTGGCAGCTATACAAAGAAAACGGTGCATTCTGCATGCGCTAATTAATGCTTAGCAAGATCGTGGTCGTTTAATGCAAGCTATCACGAAAATTCGCGCCATACCTGCTTGTCGGACACCTTCAGCTCGACGATAACGACATCCAGCAGGTTGCCGAAAGACACTGTCAACAGCCATGCGGCCTGTAGCACCGACTTCATGTTGGTAGGCGCCTATGGAAGCACCATACACTGGCGTCAGATGCGGATCCCCCAAGGGTAACGGGAAGCCGCAACGAGCGAGGAGGAAACACGATGGGTCTGCATTTACCCCAAAAAGGCCCGTTCTGAGAGCGTTTTTTAGGGCGGTGCATTATCATCACCAACATTAGCACTTTTAATGACGACATCGTCTTTATGATAATGATAATGATAATGATGGTAAAGCTAACCTTAATACTACCACTACTACTGCTTCTACCTATAAAAAATGTTCACCACAATTATCAAAATCATTATCAGCGTTGTCACTACTACCGTCGTTGGCCTCGTCAGTATCATAAACAGCATCAGCCCAATAATTATCCGCATTATTATCATCATCATCACATAACTCTTCCCATTAGCCAGCGCATCGCCGCCCACACCCGTGCTCTTCATTGCCGCTGGGCGCCGTGCCGAGGGCGTGGCTTACCTGCGTAAACGAGAACTCCAATCCCGTGATGGAGAACATGACCTCGCCAACGGTGATGATGAAGTACTGCGGGATCAGCCAGAACATGTGCATCGAGTTCGGCTCCGTCAGCGTGAACATCTTGTGTGACTGGAAGGAGACCACGATACTGTCAGTTCAAAACGGTCACACGTAAAATTATGCTTCCTAGAATATATGTCAGCTGTTTGAAACAGCTCGCTGGCAAGCTTCGCCAGGTTGGAGAAAAAGTTATCCAAGTTGTTCGGTGCATTAGCTATTCCTCGGAGAATTCCTCCCGCCATTGTTTCAACAAAGGTATGCTGCCGAAAATCAGCCCAACTATATCTTCATTCTCCTGGTTTTTCTCCGAGGAATAAGGCTAATACTTCTACCTTATCTGAGGGAAAAGTTATCCAGTGAATTTAAATACAACATGATGCTGATGGCGTTATGTTACATTTTACGATATGGATCATAGCATGAATGGGAGTGATGGTGGGTACGTTTCACGGCAGGTGGAGGATTGATTTGGGTAACGGAAATTCACCTCCCGTTTTGAATCTAGCATGAACACTGTCGCATACGTTTTGCACTTTGCGAGGATTCCACTCCAAGTGAGGCGCTCGTCCAAATAAGGCCATTTAAGCTCGAGCTTTGAGCTTGCAATACACAAATTACAACGCAATATCTCTTATTCCCCAGGTCTGCGACTGCGTCTGCTATTTTCGTACACGCTCCGTCATCACGTGCTATCAACGTTGCGTTTCGCAGGAGCTTTAGAACGCAAATAGATACGACCCTTCGGTTATAGAACGCAAATAGACCGTGGCCCCGCCATTGAGTTTTTCTGTTCATCGCGCACCTGGATGTAGTTTGCTCAAGTGTCTCAGCCCAAGTTTGTAGTGTCTTGCATGATAGCGCCATTCCATAACATTTTCTTTACCAGTTTCTGTACTCCAGACACCACAAACGACCGTTTGTAAAACAATGTTGATAACTTTTGCTGTTAAAATAATATACTAACGCAGTGTGATGACATTCTAAAAGCATCGTCTTTCCCCAGTTCGGTGAGACTAGGTTTCGATTTGAAATAAAGACAGGGTCTCAGTCGGGTTCGGCCGGGAATGCAACTCCATCCCCCCGTGATTTTTCCGGGGATTAGCGAAAACGCCAATAAAAATAAAGGACGACGGAGCGGAGTGGCGAGAAGTTTTTAGCATCTTTCCGTTTTGTACCCGGGAGGAAAATTTTGAAATTCTAAGCAAGTCACTGCGTTCTCCCAGGTTTGTCTGAGATCAGTCTGAGAATTATAATCTACATAACTTGGAAGACACTTGTTAGGTATGAATAAGTTTAGTGAATTGCAGAAGTGTTACGTTATATGTTACATATACATTTACTGGTGTTGTCTGATCTTTAAACATTCTTAAGTTGCATAGCTTGTTGTGGAATGACTTTCAGCAAGTGTTCCGACAGTGGCTGGTCGTTTGTACGAACCAACTCCAGAGTATATATTGCCGTTGAGTTACTGGGCTCGTGTTTTCTGCATCATGACCAAACACATTTGCTGTACGTTTCACATCTTTCGACTCCCGAAACTTCTGCAACATAACAAATTTTAGTAGGTAGACGAACTAATCTAGATGAAATATGCGTTATTAGTTGGTTCACTATTAAAGTAGATAGTAATTCTTTTCCAAGCTTATGCCACTTAACCTGGCCTATGGCAATGACCTGAGCTGCATTGACTTTTAAAATCACGGACAAAGTGCAAATAAATATTCAAGGAAATTCTAGAACTTAGTCAAGGATGGGACTAAGGGGAACATGGCCCCTAGAGCTGGAAGGTTTACTGTGGGTACTGGGCGATTTTGCAGGAATGCGACCCAAATGTGACATCTGGCCGCGGAAGAAAGATGTCGGCCACGTGCCTGGGGAAATCGTGCTGAAAATTTCGCGAGATTTGTGGCGCTCCAGTTCGCGCTAAAACATCTTTAAGGGTGTCACAAAGGGTGTCGGGCACGGGTTTCTAACCTGTACCACTAATGAAAGCATACAACTTAAAATTTGTTTTATTTTGAATTCATTGCGTTGTAACGTGCCCCTAATGCAAGCTGAAGAGACTCATTCCTTTCTATTTCATTCATTTCTTCCCTCCATAGGATTTCGTAATATTATTATTCCAAGTCACGCAGAAGCTGCTTATGCCAATCCTACAGAGACGCTCAGGGGTAACGCCATCTGAGGGGCAAGGGTGAACCGCCCCTTTGCGATGTGCCGAAGTGGCAAATATAGGCCCCAGGTTTGTTCTCCTCATGGTGAAGCAAAGCTCACGGTAATCCACCGCTGAAGTCGTCAAACATGGCCTTCCTCTTTTGACCCCGTCGGCCTGTTAAGCCACAGCGGATGCAGTTTTAGCGCGTGACAGGGGCTGAAAACTTGCTTCAATTAATTGTGACGCAAGGGATCGACGCAGCAGCAGTGTGTTACGCGCCCGCCTTCACTCGTATCAAATAAATCCGGCTCATGGTGCAGTCGCCTTTGCCAGTGCAGAAGCGTTTCGTTAGAGAACGTTTGGCTGCGCTTAGGACCGCACCATAAAATATGTTAGTACAGACTTAGAAGGATTATATGCACGCTGTGATTTTCAACCAGCGTGTCGTTGGAACACTTACTCTTTGCTATTATGTTCCCATATGCAATAAAAAAGTTGTTGCGGGCTACAAATACAGTGGAATATTACACTGGAAAGCTTTTAACACCGTACGGGTACACGCATATACTCTGATTCACTACATTAAAAATTGGTCTGATGATAATAAGCTGTGCTGAGGAAAACCTACGAGACTGTGATAAGATTTTTCGCCGCCATGGGGCAGCGTGCGTCCTTCCACGTTGGGGAAGGGGGGAGGGGGCAGGAGATGAGACCCATTTGGATTCTTTTTCTGGTCAACACCAACACAGCGCCAATGGTAAATTCATAAAAAGCTGCGGGTCTCAAACCTTGCCCCATCCCCGGTTTCCGAACACACAAGCCTTGCCGTGCTTAGAAAAAAAGCACGAGAACGTCGTCGTTAAGCGCATGATTTTTTCTCCATTTTTATAATCAAGTGTCGTGGCGATTTTACGATCCCGCCTCCCCCCCCCAACCCCTCCCTCCCTCCTATCAAAAATTGGTGGCGCCACCCCTGGCCTTCCGTGATCTCTAAAGCCAGCGAGACTCATTGTTCTAAGAAAACGGTCAACTCTTTTTATTCCGCGAGGTCTATAATGTTGTCACTGTTGTTCCACAAACTCAAGTGTCTTCTCGACCAGGCCCATCTATGCAAGTAGGTCATCATGTCGTAAGGCAAATGGCTAAACTTATATCCTTGACGCTATCTCATTTCAAAAGATTAGTTAAAGCACCCCATAGTGTAGTCAATTATGTTCTTCTTGGTTGATTCTGGGCCATCAGAAAACCCCAGAACACGTAATACACTTGAAAACTTGGATTCGGTTAATCCGGTACATAACACAGCACAAACGTCACGCCTTAACACCTTTGCAAGGCGCTCCTCGTGACCCTGTCGCCCGTGACCTGATCTGACCCCGGGTCACTCCGGCGAGCCGGATGGGTGGGCTCTCACCTCGTGCCCTTGAGTGTCCCGGATCACGAGCAGGGTGTAGGAGCCGCCGAGGCGCGGGTGCAGATCCGTGACCACGGGGTCATCGCTGGCGTTACCGGTGTGCCGCGGCAGGTACACGCTGTACCTGGAGTGCGGCACACAGGTCAGCCAAGTACAGTTCACTCGGCTGATGTACACACACCTGATAACGAAGGTTACCAGATATGCTGAGCACCCTGAACACGCTGGACGGTACATGATGTACTTCGAGTATGGGTAGGGTCAGCTGGCATTCTGGGTACTTGGGCACTCTGGGCAGGTGCATGCTGCACTTGGAGTACGGATATGGTCAGCTGGTATTCTGGGTACCTGGGCACGCTGGGCAGGTACAAACTGCACTTGAGGTACGGTTGGGGTCAGTTGGGCACCCTGGGTTCGCCGGACAGGTATATGCTGTACATAGAGTACCGCTAGGGTCAGCTGGGCACTGTCGCTTTGGCGCCACGCAGAGTCCGAACGTTCTGCAATACCCTGTTCTTCTTACATTTGTTCTACAGGCCCGCAATGCAGAGCGCTTTACAACCGTGTACAGCAGCATAATTTTTACTAGCTTAAACGAATATAACATCAACGCTTACTCGAAGCTTGCGGCAGCCCACCCAGCAGTGACCCCGGGCAGGAGCGAACGTCAGCTCACTTGGCGGGATAGATGGACTGGTAGCCGGTGCCTCCAAACTCGGAGAAGGTCGTCGAGTATTCCGGCATGTTTTCTGGTCCCGAAGACAGACGGATGGTGCTGTTGCTCGGCACGCCCGGCAGGCTGTACAGTATCCTGGAGACGCGTCCGTGAGGTCAGCAGGAGTCCCACTCGCCGACGTCGAGGTTGGGGTGGGGCTGTGGGTTTCTTGGCTGTTGGCTGTTCACTTCGTCAAAGTGTCGCTGAGATAAAAATGTGTTAATCTACATATGCAGTTGTCACAATGATTGCCAGAATGAGGGCAGCACATGAACTTAACGCCATGTGAATAAAAGTGGCCTCTGGCGACGGCTCCTAGCTGCCACTACCCGGGCGAATCGTATATCATCTTATCGTAGCTTCGGTCGCATATATCTATAGGAACGCGTCTAACACGTCATGAGAGCTTCATGAGCTATCTCGGGGAAGACAAACATCAAGCGTGCGGGCTGAGTTCCTGGATCGACGGCACGTGATGAGTTGGTAGCCTCACGCACCTCAGTTTTGGATATCCCTTGTTGAGATCCTTGTGGAGGTCATCATTAGGATCCGCCTGAATCAGCTTGATGGCTCCGTTGGCGTTGACCAGTAGAGCGGAGGACGACTGCAGCACAAGAGGTTAGAGGTTAGTGGTCAGCGGCTCGAGGTTGGAGGTCAGGAACTCGAGGTAAGATGTCAGAAACTCGGGGTTAGAGGTCGGAAACTCGAGGTCAGAGGTCAGAGACGCGAGGTTTGAGGTCAGGTTTACTTATGCTCGCTCAGGGCCGATGAGCGCTGCTGGCCACGAAGACACGGGAACCTGTGGGGATTCAGGGTAAAGCGGTACTTGAGGAAAGAAGGGCGGGTGTGCAACTCGGCACGCCAGAACGCCACAAAGGAGATAAATCCCGTCTGAGGTCAGCTCAAGATAATTCGACGCACCACCATGAAGTTAATGTTGCGATTTTGAGGGAAGAGCATTGGTCATCTCCCATCCCACTCTACTTCATATTAACGCCTACCCCATGCCTACAGACAGGAAACAATATGCAGAGTCGAACCTGGCCCAGCCGAAAAGTGAGTAAGCGCATCAACTATCAACTTTCAAGTCCAACAAGGTTGAAACATGCCAGACACCCAGCTCTACCGTCCCTGTACTATCCTCCCTATGCATCGCCACATGTAATGCCAAGCACCATACACCGGTCACCATCGACACCCACCTTCATGTTTTCGATCTGCATCAGCTGGCTGCCTTGTGTCACGCCCAGATTCGCCTCGGGGCACGCTGACACCGAGTAGTTGACCCTGAGCCAGGGCTGCTCGGCCGACACCTCGTACCGATGCAGGCCCATGGATGGCAGCACCAGCGGCTCGTCGCCCCAAGTAGGCGTCACGGTGACGTCACACGGCAGCGTGTTGAAGACACGCAGGTGTGAGTGGCCTGCACCGGGCAGCACCGGGTGCGTTTTCTGGGGGGCGGGGGGGGGCAGCCTCAGACCGGGTATCGCACCATCATGGGGGAGACAGTGGAAACCTCGTCACTTGGTGGCAGCCAAGTGAAAGACGCACAGAATTCCGCGCCAGTCTGTACCTGGGTGACATACTAGTTGACTTCAGGATGCTCCTTGTGACTAATTTTGTGGCCATATATGTTTTTGTTACTTTAGGACGACTCCAGTGTCAGCTTTCACCAGCGCAGTAAGATGACAGGTTTAAGTCATAACACTCACATATAACACCATCATTAAGGCAAATTGTTGCGTCAAGCAGGCTGCAGTTGCCAAATATCTTGACTTGGGGATGTTCGTTTCCCTGGAAAAGCTCCCACGGAAATCCAGTAAGCTTGCCGCCAGACCAATCGGTACAACATCGTCAGGTATTAAATAATCGGATTAAAATAATAATTCATTAACCAAACTGCCAGATATAGATGTACCAGACAGCAGCCACCAGGTAAAACGGGTCATGGTGCGTAGGGCGTATGACGTATGGCCGCGGCTGACGCATAATCTGAAATACACGTCATACAAACCTCCAGCTGCATCTCGACGATGGCTGCGATGACGAACGAGATGACCGCCAACATGCCTCCCACGCCCATCCTCTGCAGCGGCCGCTTAAGCAGGTTCAACTTGGTCATGACTGGAAACATCGACGGCATGCTGAGCATACTCACACGACGACGCATGCTGGATGGCTGTTTCGAAAGCAACCCGATTAAAGGCAGCCCGATGCACGTCGAAAAAAGCACGGCCTGGCCCCGGGGTCAACATTGAGGGCCCTCTGAGACAAACACTCTGCAGTGAAGTGCGCTTGACAGCCAGACAACCCTGCAAGCTGCAAGCTTTTAACAGGCGTTTCCTCAATGGCCCCCACCCAGCGCCAGCGAACCGCCCCACGTACATGGGTAGATGATGGTCTGGAAGCAGGGGATGAGCGCCAAGATGAGCAGCGGGTTGACCACCTGGAGCTGGTCGGGCAGCACCAGCCAGCCGCCCACCTCGCCGTCCATCTGAGTGGCCTGTAGTGTCCAGCGCGACCCCTGCGCAGCCCCAGTGGAGCGGGGACGTCAGACGGGTGCGGCGCGCTGGACGGACGAGAAAATGAGCCTTGTCCCGGCGCCATCCTTTGTGTAAAATGCACCTCGCCGTACCTATTATTCTCCCTACATGCTTCCTTCTATAACATATTTAACATCATCTCCTCTATGTGGAAGAAACCCGCATGTTGAAGGTGCCAAAACGGTTAAATCGCTTTCTGTAGGGCAAATGGAATGCAAAGGAGAATGCAAAGGAGACTCAATAGGCCAACAACGTGATGATCGGGACTCCTTCAGAAATTCCATGACGCGAACAATCATTCGCATGCACATATCAACTCCTCGCCACATCTTGTTTAGCATCATGTTTTGCACAGACCTGTTGGTCGAAGAGGGCCCAGAAGAGTGGGATGGGGATGTAGATGAACAAGACGTTCAGCACAGCCTTCACATCGGCGATCAGCTTCTTGCTGTACCTGTCGTCGGCGTGGTCCAGCCAGTGTTTCCTGCTCTCGGATGACGTGATCTTGCGGCTGGTGGCATGCTGGCAACAAGAAACAGCGCCGTTATACGCACTGGTTCCAGCGAGGTCAGCCTCGTCTGAAGGTCAAGCGTAGCTATGTCAACTAAAAAAATTGACAACGGGTGACCGGAGCACAAAATGACGTCCGTACACAGAGCCCAAAGGTAGTTGGTGGAGCACATAGGAGATCCGCTGGGAGCCTGCGTTCTTACACAGCTGCTGGCCGTACGGGAAATACTGACTTTGGTGTGCTTATTGGCGCTGACCACCGACCAGGCTGCGTCCAGCATAAGTTTGTGTTAATATCCCGGCAGCCGTCGGCCGTTCTCCGTAAGTAAGCTGCCCCACGGGTACTCACCGTGATAACTCGGCCCACTTCGACGATGACGTTGCCCTGAGGAGGGGTGCACTTGTACCAGGGCTTGCCCATCAGGAACAGCACTGCCGGAGAGACGGACTACGGTAAAGCATGATGCCCAGTATGCGTAAACTACCCAGGGAAAACGACGACCGTGCATTGTGGCTCAGGACAGCGCCGCTATATCTGCGAATAGTCGATGCATCTTCTAGCTCTTGCTTCATTTACGGTGCAAAGAAAAAGATGTTGATTTAATTCAATAATCCATCGCTCGCAACGCCACCTATAAGACCAACGTCATTGGAACGGCGTTATAGCCAATGACACCGCACGGGACTTCAAACGTCCTGTTCCCGCACGCATGACATGCTGCGATGACGACAGATGAGCCTACCTTCACAGCTCGGCGTCGCGTGCTCACAACCCCATACCATCCGCTATCACATCCTCCTCTCCTCCCGTCAAGCCACGTCGCGACCTCTTCCGACTCCTCCCCGCCTGTCCAGCCGCGTCGCGACCTTTTCCGACTCCTCCCCGCCTGTCCAGCCGCGTCGCGACCTTTTCCGACTCCTCCCCGCCTGTCCAGCCGCGTCGCGACCTCTTCCGACTCCTCCCCGCCTGTCCAGCCGCGTCGCGACCTCTTCCGACTCCTCCCCGCCTGTCCAGCCGCGTCGCGACCTCTTCCGACTCCTCCCCGCCTGTCCAGCCGCGTCGCGACCTCTTCCGACTCTTCCCCGCCTGTCCAGTCTCATCCCCACTTCTTCCTCAATTCCTCCCCCTCTCGCCTAGTCGCGTTTCGACCCTTTCCGGGTCGTCCCCCTCCCCCGCGTCCAGGCACGTCCCGACGTTCCCCAGCGCCTCCCCGGCCCCCTCTTCCGGCCGGGCCTCCAGCTTCTCTCCTCCCTCCCACTCACGAACCTAGAGCGACGACCATGAGGACGGCCGGCACGCCAAACGCCAACGGGTAGCAGCTGTCGCTGCCGAAGCAGTGCACGTCGTTCCGCAGGATCGGCGTAAGCACGGTCGAGATCAGGCTGCCGGCGTTGATGGCGAAGTAGAAGATGGAGAAGAACTGCTGCAGCTGCAGAGCGGGAAGGGGTGTGTGAGAGACCATCGTGATGAGTTGCAGCGTACAGACAGTCTAGGAGTTGGCAACATGAAACTAAACACTAGAAGCGTCATCTAAGTATAATGCATGCTCACCGCTACTACGTTGCAACATGAAACACACAAACACACCATTGTTTCATACAATGCGAAGCAAATGAATGTGACATGGAGTGGCAATTTTAACAATAATAATGTTGTCATTTTTCAATATTTTAATAGCCGCAAAACAGCCAATGTTTAATTGCCATATAACATTAATTATTAATTTAATAGCTTACGTGCCGTCAGCTGGTTTTGCGGCAGGTCTTCGCATTTCGTACTGTTTCCGATGGCACCACACGTTGCCGGTGTGTACATACCTGGAGCTCCTGCTGCGGCAGGATGAACTGGTCGCCGCCGAACGCGGACACGCACGGCTTGATGCCTCCGGTGCCGAGAGCAATCAGCGCTAAACCCAGTATGCTGATCTCACTGTGGACATGCAGGCACGCTTTGAATGGAAGGAGCAGAAGCATCTGATTCATATGGCACAAAATATGCAAAGACAATGCTTGAACATGCAAAAATGCATCGCCCTTATATGCAAGGCAAATCAGAATATGGTCACATGTGTATGGGCTAAATATGCATGCATCAGCTAACATTCGAACTCAATATTCAAACCCCACTTCTCACAACCCGCCGCCTGTTTTTGTCGGACGACGTGCAGCCAGGCGTTCATCATCTAGCATGCCGGCATTAAGTCGTAGTTTCACTATGCTTACGGCGTAGTCGGGGCTACCGGCTGTTTTCTAACGGGCACCCTGCTGCACGCTACCCATCCACTGCCCATCTAATCACGCTTAGTGAGAGCAAGGAGTTGCAAAACCGGCAGCGAACGCAGCTGCGACATGCAGCGCGATTCCCACTGAGAAGGCGCGGCGCTCTCGAAGCGTGCAGGCATTAGTGCGACGACTCTGTCATCCACTCCCGACAAATGACAGCGACACGGACTTAGGAAATGCGTACAGAGAGATTACACCGGACTGGAAAGAAAGCAGCTCTCGCGTGATCTCAAACAGCACACCGGAGAATGATCTGGACGGCGTTGGCTCACTTGAGACCTCTTTGGCTGTAACATCGATTTAATTTTCCGGTCCACAAGCACGGGGCATGGCGGTGCTGCTGCTACGCTCGTCGTCGCAGTCTCCTGACCGGGTTATAGTGTTTCGCCAATGTCTGCGCTCCACGTTGAGTGCGGCTTTCACATGCTGGTGAGATGGAGTGGTCAAGCAAAGCTGAGGCGAATGTCGAGGAGGAACGACGATGAACTTTCACAGTGATCGCCTCTGCCCAACGGTTCCTGCCCGAGAAAGCTGTGCACGGCGGAGATGGCTGCTAGGTCATTCCAATCCAGCTTTGCAAGTCCTAATGCCATCGTCGCAGAACCAACGAGTTGCGAGCCACTAAGCATCGCTGAACGGTCGCCAAATGGCGGCACTTAGGGCGAAAGCCGTCTGGCAGTTCTGGCGGTCCGATACCAAGTCAGCTCTCAGTAAATGCTCTGTTGCCCCCAGAAGAAACATTCGTTTGGCCGCAGTATATGGCTTGTATTGTGGACAAATGACCAGCCACCTTCTTTCTCCTCATTCTCCTTACCCGCCTTTCCCCAAGCCCACTCCGTTTGGGCCTCCAGCGGCTTGCTTCACCGATACTTGCAAAATAACGACTGCCCTTCCAGACATCTCAATGGGGGTGTGTCTCAATTGGACCTTTGTGGAGTTCATGGAGCCAAAGGTGAGGCACGGCAAAATAGAGCCGAGCTGAGCTAAGTGATCGGGCCCAAGACCACGATCGCCTCCTCCATTGGAAACGTCAGTCATTCTGGCGGGCATCGCTCTGACGCAAGCCGAGAAGAACGGGAAACACTCTCCGAATAAGCCGTTTCCAACCAGCATCCACGTGCCTTTCGAAACGAGGATGGTGTGAACCCTCACATGGAAGCCTGCCATAAAAAGGCTGAGTGTTGCTTGATGGCACAGCTTTTACCGTAGCTAGGACACTGACCCGACGCTACACCACAGACCCGCCCTGCCCTCTGGCGGGGCGGGTGTATTGAGGCCCGGCTCGCCTGTTTTGCCAGGTGGACGTGAGCGCAGACACCGAACGGTGCCGCTCCCCTCCCTCTTCCCGCACCTCAGGTGGAATATAACGTCGGGCACGTGTTGGCACGTGACGCAAAAGTTCAGCAGAAACTGAGCTCAGCCCGAGCACGGACTGGGCCCAGCACCAGCACAACTGAACGAGTGCCTAGCGTGCGAGCCGTCCGACGACATGACGCCGCACTGAAGCATGACTGGTCGCTCAGAGCACAGCAAGGCTTCTGGGAGGCAGCCTTCTGGGACGCGCGACGGCAGTGCCGCGACCAGCGAAGCCTGGCGCCCGGGTGGGCAGCTTGTGGTCACTGGTGCTGCTGCATGCTTTGCTGGTGGAGCGTACTCACGTCTGTGGGAAGTAGAGCGGTGGTGTGGCGGCCATCGAGAGGAGGATGTTGCCCAGGCAGTAGATGATGGAGATGTAGAATATCGTCCTGGTGAAGAGGGGGTTTACCGTTAGCATATTGGCTGCTTGGATGCAGCCATGTACTGGCTGTGCGCAGGCTAGCTCCCTGCAACTGCTGTTTTGTTGCACAGCTGATTCCTCATGTAGGCAAAGAAGGCATCCATCTCAACTTCGTTCATGAGTGTGCTGAGCGATGAAAGGCACAGAGGATCAGCACCGAAAGTCGCCCAATTTGGCACGCGCATAGCCGCAGCGAATATCTCATAGGGGCAGGTCAGCAGTGACACTACTAACAGCTGACTCTTACCAGGGAGGTGATGTAAGGCAACTATAGTTAATAAATTACGTAAACACAGTTTTGATGTCACGTTGTCTTTAAGCTGCCCTCACCATAGGAGTGCAGTACCTTAGTGACTCACTCGCTCAGTGACTCTGGCGATATCACTTTGCCCCTAAGCTGCCCTCCGCACAGGAAGTGACTCACTTGAACTTGCCGAGCAGCGTGTCAGCCAGGATGGCGCCCAGGATCGGCGTGAAGTAGCAGAACATGTTGAAGGTGTGGTACACCACGGTGGCCGAGTCGTCCGAGTAGTTGAGTTCATTGCGAAGGTAGATGGTAAGGATGGCTGAAAAAGATCCCCCACATCAGTCAGGGTCGTTCAAGACCCAGCGAGGGAGCTGCGTTCACTTGCCAGGCGACCCAGCAGCCAGCTAATGGTGATCGGTGATCGGGCGACCCAGCAGCCAGCTGATGGTGATCGGTGATCGGGCGGCAGCAGCAGCCAGCTAATGGTGATCGGTGATCGGGCGACCCAGCAGCCAGCTAATGGTGATCGGTGATCGGGCGACCCGGCAGCCAGCTAATGGTGATCGGTGATCGGGCGACCCAGCAGCCAGCTAATGGTGATCGGTGATCGGGCGGCAGCAGCAGCCAGCTAATGGTGATCGGTGATCGGGCGACCCAGCAGCCAGCTAATGGTGATCGGTGATCAGGCGACCCAGCAGCCAGCTAATGGTGATCGGTGATCGGGCGGCAGCAGCAGCCAGCTAATGGTGATCGGTGATCGGGCGGCAGCAGCAGCCAGCTGATGGTGATCGGTGATCGGGCGGCCCAGCAGCCAGCTAATGGTGATCGGTGATCGGGCGACCCAGCAGCCAGCTAATGGTGATCGGACGGCAGTCCAGTGATCAGCATCGCGTTAGTCTGTTCGTAGCACAAAGTCGCGGCGCACGATGGCATAACGTCACATGGCGTCCGCCGCCCGCTCACGCGTCCACTGGGTCACTGGTGTCATCGACAATGCCTTTGCAAGAAGCAGTTTGGCGAGTTTTAGTGCAAGGTGGAATCTAAAACTTGGAAACCGGTCCTTGACAAGTGGATCAGAAAACGGCATCTTGGTTTGCTTAATGACACACAAAACATTTGATCTGAATACTGTTCTTACCTCGTTTTGATGCCAATGTTTTCTAGCGATAACTTATCGATTGCTTAGTGCGGACGGAATGCAGTATCTTCTTAGATATATGCATGTTCTCCATATCGGTTTAGTGAAATGGTCGGCGTGGTAAGATGAATGCTGTCACATCACCCGGTATCTGCCTTTCAACATGTTTTTTCCGACTGCTTTGCAGGAGGACGGTCGCCTCCACGGCCAATGCCAAAGAAGGCTAGTGGCCTGAATATTACTACCTATTCATTATGAGTTGACTGAAGAATGCCTTAGGTAGCGTAGATGTTGGTGATAATATATCGTGGTAGGAGATGGAGATGACATTTAAATTTGCGCTTCCCCCTCAGTGATGCTATAAATTTCGATACCTCAAAAGTCCGGCTACCCAGCACTATTTGTCAACGAAAAACATTCGCAATATAACTGCCTGGAGCACCTAAGGCGTCCCTCATTTTCTAACTACAGTTTCTCTTCATTCACAACAGGCTGCGAGTGCCGCGCGCCTCGTCTCCAAGCCTGTAAGCAGGTGTTTGGCGGTGCTGTTTGCACATGGCGGGATATCATGTCGTGTTTCCCCACTCTTCCCGCGCCAAAGGCTTCGTCACTATTTGCTCACGCGCCGCCCACAAGTTGACGTCAGCTTCACTCCCATGCCAACCCAAACAGGAAGGCCATAGGCGCGTCACGACAATGTTGATGTCACCAAAATGCCGTCAGGGCGCGCCGAAGACGGGTCTATTCGTAAGGAGCCGAGAAGGTGAACCAGGTGAAAAAGTCCGACGCTACCGATTGGACGATTCCAGAGCTGAGAGTACGGTCTACTGTACTCGACGTCAGTAGAAAGGAGATTAATGGCACCCTCGTGTTCGACAAGCTCTAAACATGCTCTATGCTTTGCAGAGTTTTTGCTTTCGCAGTTTTCCAATAATTTCTGCCTCCAGTTAGATGTGGTCTAATTACATGTCAATTCGGTGCCCGCAAAAGTCTAATAATTGCTTAGACCGGTCCGTCTGTCCAACAGGGTTTAAATGACCATCACGAAATGACCATCACGAAATGACCATCACGAGATGACCATCACGAAATGACCAATTCTGATGCTGACGCCGCGATTTGCAAACTCGGCGGTCATTCGCGATTTGCCGTAAGATGACACCTCACGTGACCCCAGCTCAGACCAGGTACGGTCCGCGTCCGGAGGTGGGGGCCGGACCGGCCCGACGGCAGCCGCCGGACCGTGCACGCGCCGGACGCCGCTTGTGCGCACAGAACCCCCCCCCCCCCCCCCTGCAGCCTGGGCTGTTGAAACCTCCCAGTAACACATATTTTTCATTTACACCCCGGCCGATGCTCAAAACCCCGGCCAAACCTCACTTATTTCTTTGTCCATATCCTGGCAATTATTCGGAGGCCAACAGAAAGTTCAAACGCGTAATTTTTTGCCCTTCAGCATTACCAAATGGGTCCGGGGCGATTTTGGAACTTTTAGCCTTATATACACTGACATGCCACCTTCTTTCCCCTATCTTTGGAAATTAAACATATCGAAACCAGATACTTCAAATTCATGTACACTGTCCTTGAAAAGGTGCCCAATGATCCTAGATTCAGTCATAGCTACCAGGCCTCAATTTTTCTCCACGCATATGAACATGGAACCCGCCAAGCTTGTTTCGGATGCTCCTTGCATTTGCATAGAGACACCCGAGTTTCCTACAGTTCTTTTTGGCTTACTGTTCGGCAGTTTTGAACTTGCATGATTTAGGTGTTCTACGTTCACTCTTCTATCCCCATAAGTTACCTTCCCTGAAAGACATGTCCGTACACCCTACTCAGGTCGTGCACACCTTTCTCGTAGTCCAATGGAGTCCATCCCCTAATACAGGTCCGTGACATTTAAAAAAATATGTCCCACTCGCCTACAAGCGTGAGGTCAAGCTTGTCACAAAGTCTCCCTAGTGTAGCGTTGGCTGCCGGTGCCTGGAGCTTCCCTCAGGAAGTGCTCCAGTCTTAGGCAAAATGCCTGTTACTATCTTCCCACCTTCGCTATGCTGTTAAGTGGCCAAAAGGGTCCTGTAATCCTGAATCAGCTCCTCACTCTTCTCCCGCCCCATATTGTTCACTCCGGTCTGCACCATAAATCAGTTCAATCCGTGTGAGCCTGCAAATTTGAAAATCCGGTACGGTCCTACTCCATGTGTCGGTGGAAATACCTAATCCGGTCCAATCCAGCCACGATCCACAAAGCATGGATTGATCTAATCCGCGAAGTGCTCTAGTTCGCACTATTTGCGTACAAGAGATAAGAGGGGCGGCTGCCCCCTCTCTCCTTATTCCCTTCCTCCCATATGCTCGATTCCTTACGCCGTCACTGATCCTCAAACGCTTGTAGCATGGTGACGGATTCTGATGAAACCCATGCGAGCACCTCCTCTCTCTCTCTCTCTCTCTCTCTCCTCTCTCTCTCTCTCTCTCTCTCTCTCTCTATTCCTCTCTCTCTCTCTCTCTCTCTCTCTCTCTCTCTCTCTCTATCTCTCTCTTCCCTCTCTCTCTCTCTCTCTCTCTCCTCTCATTCTTCTTATCTTCTCTCTCTCTCTCTCTTCTCTCTCTCTTCCTCTCTCTCTCTCTTCTCTCTCTCCTCTCTCTCTCTCTCTCCTCTCTCTCTCTCTCTCTCTCTCTCTCTCTCTCTCTCTCTTCTCTCTCTCCTCTCCCTCCTCTCTCTTCTCTTTCTCTCTCTCTTCTCTTCTCTCTCTTCTCTCTCTCTCTCTCTCTCTCTCTCTCTCTCTCTCTCTCTCTCTCTTCCTCTCTCCTCTCTCTCTCTCTCTCTCTCTCTCTCTCTCTTCCTCTCTCTCTCTCTCTCTCTCTCTCCTCTCTCTCTCTCCTCTTTCTCTCTCTCTCTCTCTCTCTCTCCTCTCTCTCTCTCTCTCTCTATCTCTCTCTCTCTCTCTCTCTTCTCTCTCTCTCTTCTCTCTTCTCTCTCTCTCTCTCTCTCTCTCTCTTCTCTTCTCTCTCTCTCTTCTCTCTCTCTCTCTCTCTCTCTCTCTCTATATATCTATATCTATATATATATATATATATATATATATATATATATATATATATAGATATAGATATATATTTCTCCTGCTCTGCCGAGTGGCCGAGTATGATAAGATGAGTCTAAATAATATAGATAAGACAGTTCTGTTGGTCTTATTTTTCGTAGAATAACCACGAGAAAGGAGATATAGATCATATATGCATCAATATTTCGGCTACATAATTTCATCGAAACATCGTTCTCTCCTTTTCCCCGGTTATTCTATATGTATAATGTTCCAACGAAATCCACTTACCAACTTACGTAAACTTAAATCATCCGTGTATTACCGAGTGAGCGCCTTGCATAAAGGTTATATTATGTTTGCAACACGACATACCTATTACATAACACGGCGCGAACAGAAAGGAACCAAACGTGGTTCGTCATTTATATGTACATACTTTGCGGTGCCACACTGTCATGTAAGCATGTAAACATGACAGTGTGGACACGAATACGCTAAGTCATATGCTAACACATCACGCATCATTCAATGCCTGCCAAATTCTTAGTCAACCAGCGAGAAAAGACACCCACACACAACCCGCCCACCTCCAGCGTCTTTTTGACCACAGCAAAAACAATACATTCATCTTCAGGATCGCCTGTGCTGCCCCGTTATCGGACCGCGGCGTCGCGCGCGGCCCGGTCGGGTGGGGTGGTGCCGTAACCAGCACCTGGCCAACTCTCTCGCAGCCCGCGGCCTTGCCATGGCCCACATCGGTCGCGGCCACGCGCTGACGAAAGTAAAAGTGGCTGTAGTAGCCGTGATCCTTAGCGGTTCGCCGGACGTCATGGTCGGGGCCTCTGGGGAGGCAGTCTGAGGCAGGGGGGGGGGACAGGCAGCCCGTTCATAACTCCGACTGAAAGGGGCGGCCAGCAGCGAAGGAGGGGGGGGGGGGGATCGCTCGGGAGGTCAGGTCGCCGGACCGGTCCTCGCCGTCCGAGTCGAGCGGCGCCCGGGGCTGGGAGATACGAGATAAGGGCAGATGCCATCGGACCGCGTGACATAAGAGACAGGTGGTGCTCTGTTGTGAAACATGGCGCGATGCGTGACTACTGCACTGCGGCCTCAAGCCATGTTGATTGGAGTGGGAAACGCCCAACCGTTTGTAGGTAAGTCTGGTATAACGGTACTGACAACGTACGGTTTTTATCGATGAAAACTACCTGGCGATATGCCCCGACGGCAAGGCGATAACCATTTTACTGCCCCGTGACTTGGGGTGAGTGAGCTCCTCTTCAGTTAAGACTGCAGTGGCCAGATTCCAAAGCTTGCGGGAGTTCTTAAAAGCCCGGTCTAGATCTGCACCGGACATCTCTCAGCCTCACCATATGACCCAAATCGAAAACCAGTTAGAATGCCAACTTAAACGGCAGGTATTGTGTCAAGGCTGCTGCACAGGCACATGCCTCAAGACACGGGTGTGGAACTCGCTTTGGCGGTTGCAGCTCTCCGCTCGTTGAAGGCCAAACAATGCACAAAACTCCAATGACCCAATTAGTGCCTGTCTTTAAGCAGACGCACGTCATACATCCGCGCAGCAAACGCGGTGTGCAAGTCAGCAGCCATTAGAAGCTGAGATGCGACGAGGAGCACAGCGTCAGCGATATCGAATCTGAACGGACTATGCACAGTCATACAGATGTTAACATGCAGGGAGGGTTAAAGAAGCCCCAATCATGAGTGGTGGCAACAGAGAGCGAGCAAGTCGTGTTGTAACAAAAAGTGGAGAGTGAAGGAAAGGCGAATGGCAGAGAAACGACGAAGGGTATAGATGTGAATGACAATACGGAAAAAGAGGGGGCAAACACAACATGAAAAAGGGATAAAAACAGAGGGGAAGACAGCGATAAGGATTATCAGGGTGAGAGCGAAAGGGGAGAAGAAAAGAGAAAAAGAGGGGGAGCGGGAGTAGCGAAAGGGATTGAGAGGGAGAGAGGGAAAAACAGAATGAAAGGAAATGTGGAAAGACGGGACAAGTTCCTACGCGTGAATACGCACAATGTATTGAGACTGTATGGCTTTCACTTACCTTTCATGCCATAGAAGGAGAACCTCTCGCAGAACTCATTTCCGATGATAAAGAATACCGGCTTTGGATACTTGTGTTTCTGGAAACAAACCATGAGTCAGCATGATGCAGACGCTCAGATCTCTAGCTCACGGGTGTAAGGTAAAGACACTCGATGTTGTACTTCACCCGTTCGAACCTTTACCGACCACCTTTTCAAAAGAAACTTTTGCCCACTCATTCCATCCTGTGAAGGCGAGAGATTGGCCGCGACCGCTTGGCAAACACGGATACGACCCTCGATGGCGGGACGACCGTGAACTCAAACCGAAAACTCCACCCACGAGTACTGACAAATTCCCAACCAAGATGGGTGCAAACAGAGGCGAATCCATTGATACAAAGGTTGCCAACACTACAAGCACTTCACGCGGCATGACGAGACACAAAAATGCACGAATAGGTTTGTTTTTCTGGGAGCAAAGGCACAGGTTCGACTAGTTGGGTTATGCAGAAGGAACAGCAGCAAGCAGCCTCAACAGCGAAATCACAAACCATGTTAACGGAATGAACGCCATGAGCTATGTGTACATCTTAATTTCAAGTCGCGTAGCCGCAGCCTTCATATTTGAATACAATTCAGCGGTACGATTAAATAATAAGGGAGCTCTTTCAGTCACTGAGAATAATCATACCCGTGATTCGAACATTGATTTTTGCGGCAAACGCTCTGCTTGCTACAAAAATCCTATTTCTGAAAAAAATATCTACGCATGAGTGCGTGTGTGTTAAGTGCCACAATTTTTGACATGGCTTCAGAAGTGGTGCTCAGGACCGAAACAGCCTTCCACTTCGGATATTGGATGCCCTGATAGCCAGTGGTACACCACTCGTGCTCGCACTCCGTTGCAGTTACACGCTGTGAAGAGAAACCAAAAAATGGCGCGTGTCTTCAAGCTCTGACCTCACGCTGTCAATACAGTCCAATGCTACCCTTGAGTTTTGTCGGATCGGTCAAGCCATCAGTGGAGCTCACGAATAGTGAAGATATGGTGGAACCCACTGGTAGCGTTAAGTTCTGTCACAGTCTTATGATGGGCAAAATATGTAAGACATACACCTTTTGCCGTAGGTTCTGTGGTGGGAGCTAACTTACGTGGGGTGGCACCCGAACCCGCCTCTGGCATATGTGAGAGCTCGCGTAGTTCAAGGCCCTTGAAAAAATTAACAAGTGGTACCCCTATATGTATATATATATATATATATATATATATATATATATATATATATATATATATATAGTAGAAAACGGCCCAGGATGAATACATAAGTAGTAAAAATGCAGCTATCTGGATGCAGATGTGGGTGTGACCTTCAAGAAATACCGGACAAATGCTGCAAGAAATGCAACAAAACGTCACTGGTTAGGCTTCTGTTTCTCAGACGAAACTGCGTGCACCTGAAACTTTCAAATGAACACTATTTTATACATATCCAGGCTTTCTCAATATTTTGTGCACAGCTCAGGCATCAAACCTTGCAAAGATATTACGTGAGCTGGTAATGAAGGGCTGGATGAGTTTCAAGCGGGCGGAAGGCGACTTTTGGCAAAATCCCGCCGGTAACCGGTAACCTGGCTATGAGCTTAAGAAAATCCCTTTCGTATGGACCACTCAAGGCTACGCGTATTTCATCTGAAAGCACGGACGTGAGCCTTATGTTCAAACCCTGATTTTCCCACAGCAAATACGTTGTTTTTGCGGGAAAGTCGGGTAACGGTCTCGCGAGCTTGAAGCGTGCGAGGTTTATTATACTGGACCGAACACTTCTCTCCGAAAGGTTAAAATAACAGTGGCCATTCCCGTGTGAGGGTATATGGGCATCGATATCCAATCTGTATTTGAGTCACAGTGATCTTTTCATTTTGATGATGCATGCCTTACATTTGCCCCGACGAAGCAAAAGGGGCGCGGCGCGCAGGTCTCTTATCTTCCAGCAAGATACTTACCAGACCTCCAAAGAACAAAAACCAAGGCCAGCAACGGACAACACCTTGGCCAACAAACAGGCTGCAGTCCAGCAAATACGACTTGTCGCACGACATTCTCGACGAGCAGGTTTGCCAGTCATACGATCAAAACCGAGCGGGTTTGTTCCAAACAACACGCCGTGCCCGTGATATGAATGAAACACCCTGGTTGGTAATACAGTGGTCATAAGTAAGGATCCCCACAAGCCGTCGTAGTGTCCGCAACGCCCTTATATGGACAAGTCGGTTGGTATGTGGATGAATATACATACATGTATATATATATATATATATATATATATATATATATTTACACCATTCTCCAATATGTTTGCGTTTTAGGCATTGATCAATACCACAGATCCCGCAAACTGAGCAGTTTCCGACATTTACGCCTATGCTGGAATTTAACGACGGTGGTCGTACTTTCGTGTAATGAAACTAGGCGCCGGAGGATGTTTCCAATATACGCATCTAATAGTGCACATACGAAGTGCTGTTCACAACCGATCATGCGAGGGAGTGCTAGCAAGTTGAAATGACAAAACTGGCGCCGTGGTGTTTAAAGTGGGAAATGTCAAAATTGCGGTCAGTCCGACGAAAGATGGTGTGGTCACCGCTCCACCTCTCCTACTGTCGTCTGTTCACCCATCGGATGAGCACCTATGGCTACCCATGGAATGAATCGATAGGCGACTGCCTATCGATTCATCCCGACCGATCGCCTAACCCCGGCCACAATATGACTCGATGGAGGGGTCGGTCGGCCGGCCAGCCCTCGATACAGAGCATGCAACCGACAGGACGGCGGGTGACATTACCTCCTCCTTCCTCTTCTTCTCCACCTCCTCCACCATTTCGAGGTCGTGTTCCACGGTCATGGTGGCGACACCTCGACCTCCTGACCCGCCGGTGACGCCGCCTGACTTCGCCGACCACCGGAACAGACGAGAGACCGGGCCGGCGACCTGACCCGCCGGTGAGCGACAGAACCGAGTGACCCCGCCGGTGACCGACCGGAGAACCGAGTGACCCTGCCGGTGACCGCGCGCTGCCGCCGACCGGAGCCGACTGCTGGCCGGCGGCCCCGGCGCCCCTTCACCGGCACCGGCGCCGGCACCGCCGGCGGGCGGCCGACCCAGTTCCCCCCCCCCCCCCTCCTTCGCCGCCTTCACCCCTCCCCGCTGATGGCCGCCGATAAACCCGCCGGGCGGCCCGGCCGGGTCACGTGGGCGCGGTCCTGCGAACAGGGCGCGGGACCGCCGATCGGGGACAGCGCGACACTGGAAACAGATCGTGGGGCGGGGTTGGGGGCCGAAGGGACCAAGTGTGTGTGTGGGGGGGGGGGGGGGGGCAAGGAGACGCATGATCGTGTCCCACGGACGGGTCGCCAGGCCATGGACACCACGGACGGGTCACGCGGCAGAAGGGGAGAAGACAGCACAGAGGGAGGAAAGACCGGGTAATGGGGCGGACCATGGGTAGCTACGCGCCACGGACGGGTTATGCGGGCAAGGACGGGACGCAGGGACTAGCAGGGTACGTACCTGAGCACTGGCATCACCAGGTTGTTGCCACAAATCTCACCCACTTAGAGATGCAATGGTGATGGGTGAATTCCTGCAGCCAACAGGCAGCAACGACACTTCCAGTTTGATGCGCGAACAAGTATAAGTGTACCACTAGCCAGGGGTGCCTGTAGAATTTCACGATGGGGGATGGCATACCAGAAAATCACTGAAAACCAAATTTAGCGCGTCCCAGGAGCGCGCAACTTAATGCGCAGTAAGTTCACACAGTAAGTTCCCGATTTCCTAGCTATACGTGACTACCTTTAATTTTTGATTGTCAGCATTTTACCAGGTATCTATCAACACATCTCATAAATTGGATAACTCACGGACGGGAACGTGCAACGGGAGCTAATTTGTGCGCGCGCTCCTACCTCTATGTGCTTAACTTATAACCCGGGGAAATTCCACCTCGCTTTCAGTGTGCTTCTGTGCAGGCTCTCAACGGCCACTGGCTCCATTCGCTTATAATTTTGGCGTTTTTATAATTTTGGCGTTCCAGGCTAAACAAAATACATCACACGACTGCATCGTCGTGTGTTGACGGATAACTCAGAACGCCGCACATCTGATTAGTGCGCCATCCTTTCGCAATGTCTCTGAGCCGGTGAGTGACCCGGAGGTCAGTGTCCACGTGCTGGACTATCGGAGGAGGGCGGCTGTCGACCGGTTGTACGATACCAGCGTTCAGGCGGCAGTCGGTACTTATGCAAAGGGCGGCCGGTTTTGCGAAGGTTTCGGAAAGTGTCACTCCTCTTGGGGCAGTGGCTTCAATGCTTTTCTTCTTCTTTCTTCAACTTCGCCCACTTCAATGTTTTTATCTTCGTCGATATTGGCATGAAAGTCATGACAGCACCAGGGAGAGCATGGGTAAGGCACATTATCATTATTCATAGGAGGCGAAATTGTGTTGCCAAAACCAGTCACCCTATTCTGCAATGACATAGAAACGCACTCGGATACATATCAAAGTTGAATGGCCTGGCCAAAAGAACCTTCCCAGCTATCGTCGTTTCACCTATCGTGTGCCATGTTACCGTATCTTAGCTCTTAAGTGTTGGTATAATTGTTCAGGGAAATGTAGTGCATTAGTTTGACATTCAACTATGAGCCAATTTCGAAATCGCATAAATTGAGGCCGGGTTGTAAAACATTTCCTTGAATCTAACCGCTCACGACGTGCTATATTTGGCACACCCATGCATAACTTAAAATATAGCAGTACTAATGGTTCGAAACAGAACTCAACTTATTACGACGTCTAATAATAATCATATGTCAGGCAGAACACTGCAATACTGCATGAACAGCCACACCAGCTGCGTAACGAATCCCTCTTACGTAATCCAAATCTTTAGATACGTTCGCGCACTGACCATCGGGCTAACTCGTTCGTCTGTGCGTCAGGTCATTCCACTGCGATCTGCGTGTTGCGCCAGTCACGTTGCGTCAGTGCCTACGCAGTTCTTGGCAGTCAACGACTGCAGCTTCCTCTGGTGG